AATTGTTGTGGATCCTTCTAAAATTGATGCAGTGTTGCAATGGGAGACTCTGAAGTCTGCGACTGAGATTCAAAGTTTTATTGGTTTAGCAGGTTATTACCGAAGGTTCATTGAAGGATTCTCTAAGTTAGAGTTACTGTTAACTAGGTTAACTCAAAATGGTCAAGCTTATGTGTGGGATATTGCGTGTGAAGAAAGTTTCATAAAATTGAAAAAGAAGTTGACGACTGCTCCGGTATTAATTTTGCCTAACCCAAGTGATGCTTATGTAGTATATTGTGATGCGTCGAAGATGGGTCTTGGTGGTGTGCTAATGAAAATGGACAAGTTGTGGCTTATGCTTCTTGACAATTGAATATTCATGAAAGGAATTATCCTACGCATGATTTAGAGCTTGCAATTGTGGTGTTTGTGTTGAAGATTTGGAGACATTATCTTTTTTTATCTAAATTTGAAGTGTTCAGTTATAATAAGAGTCTAAAATACTTGTTAGACCAGAAGGAGTTGAGTATGAGGCAAAGAAGATGGCTTGATTTGTTGAAGGATTATGACTTTAATTTGAATTACCATTCGGGCAAAGCAAATGTAGTTGTCAATGTATTGAGTAGGAAATTGTTGCACATGCCAATGCTTATGGTTTGAGAATTGGATATGATCGAACAATTTATAGATATGAGCTTAGTATGTGAAGAGAGTCCTGATAGCTTGAAGTTGGGAATGTTGAAATTTGTTGCGGGAAGTTTTATGTGCTTCTGTTGCATCTGCAGGCAACACAGGAACGCCATCGGCAACCACTTCTAGTGTTTCATAGAAGCCAAACAAGGATTGCATATGTTTTTTCCATCTGATCCATTTTTTTTCCGTCAAGCATTGGTAGAGAATTCAGAATTCCCTTATCACTAGCCATCTTCACAACAGTTGATTCACTTTCCCTAGAAACACGATTTGTGACGTGAAGTTCTTGAAAACTCGATCAACAACAATAACCAGACTCTGATACAAATTTTTTAGTGCATAAGACACTTTTAGTGAGGAGAAAAAGAGAGATAATAAAGAAAATAAGGATTATATTATTCACTTGAAATTGTATTGTACAAAATAAGGATACACACTATGATTATTTATATACAACTCTAATTGGGTTTGGACTTACACAACTTAGATTATATTTAAATATTAAATCTAATCAAACCTAATCTAATATTTCGACATGTAGTTTTTCTGTAAATTGAAAAACACAATTAGCAACAATTATACTATTTAAACACATTAAAGAATTTAATTACGATTCATACTTGTACTAGTGTAAAACAAAATCTTATGGGTTGCTGTTGTTAAACCACATACAACAAATAGCACGTACACAAGGTATCCTAGATATATCTCATCTTCTACACGCATATCTTCTACAACAAATAGAAATTCAACATATGCCTTTGGTAATAACTCTTTCTTTTAGATTTACTCACTTTTATATGAAATGGACATCCTTCCATACACTTAACAAAAAAATTATGCTTCTCATTTTTTTCAAAAACACATTTTTTTAGCAAACAATGCATGAGGCTTGATAACACTTCTAACAAGCTCAATAGTAGAAAAGTTTGACTTAACTCACATTTGACATTCTCATTACCATCTCTAAATTTGAGATGTTTAGACTTACTATATTTTTCCTCGTTGTATTCATTCGGGGTATCTAATTCATCATTGTTTCCATCTTTATCTTGAAATTATTCAACTATAGTTAGGATATTACAAACTTATTGTATTTGACTGTCTTGAGTTGGATTCTGAATTTCATCTGGGAGTACACACCAATCCAATCCCAGTTCTCATCATAATCACCATCTTTAAATTGTGCCCTTTCACTATCAACATCACATATTCACCATCATCTTCCTCAAAAAAATCTGGACCACTCTCTTCACTATCATCACTCTCATCTCACTACTACAAAACGCACAAACAACAACACCTAAGTCACCACGTCAAAGGATCCACCGTAGTACAATTTATTCTACTAGGCATTTTTTTTCAAAATTAAGCCACTTTTCACCACGGTTGAAAGTTCCAACCGTGGTAAAAAAATGGTGCATGGTCATGGGTTTGAATTTTGATATTGTTGTTGTTGTTCTACTGCTTTATTTTTTATAATTTATTAAAAGACATACAACAATAGGTATTTAATACAACCGATGTTGTATGTAGCGCACATGGTCATGAGTTTGAATCTTGTTGTTGTTGTTTTTCTAGTGCTGTATTTTTTATATTTTATTAAAATACATACAACAACGATTACTTAATACAAACATTGTTGTATTTAGTAATTATTGAATTTCTTCACCATCCTTAAATAAATCTCAATCGTCCATTCAAGTGACTATCAACGTTCAGGACACCACCGTTAACGATCCACGTGAAACCTAAAACTTAGACAAACTTCCAACTTAGACGGACTTCATCTTCTACCTTCAAACATCATCTTTTATTTACGACACTCTATTTCTCCACTAAGTGAAGCTCGAAAATATCATTTCTTCCATAAGCAAAACTCGAAAGCATCTATTCTCCATCTTGAATGAGACAAGGAAAGTATTGATTCAAGTTAACAACGTTAATTGTTGTTGTTCTTATTGTTCTTTTTTTAGTCATTGTTGTTGTTGTTGTTGTTGTTATTGTTCTTGTTCTTATTATTGTTGTTCTTGTTCTTGTTATTGTTGTTGTTGTATATTATTGTTGTTGTTGTTGCTGTTATTGTTGTTCTTGTTGTTCTTGTTTTTGTTGTTCTTGTTGTTGTTTTTGTTGTTCTTCTTGTTCTTGTTTTTGTTCTTGTTGTTCTTGTTGTTTATGTTGTTCGTGTTGTTCTTACTGCTATTGTTGTTCTACTGCTATTTTATTTTATTAAAAGTCATACAACAACGGTTAAGTTAATTAACCGTTGTGATATCACGCGAACTTTCCAGTATACTACGACGGTTCCAGGACCGTGATTGTAAGTAACACCTTTACAACAACATTCTACACAACAACGCCTTGACCTGCGTGATTATATAGATTTTCCTACCGTTGTTAAATAGATTTTCCGTAATAGTATCTACTCCATCTAAACTTTCACATTTATTTGAATCAGATTATATGGTTTAGTATATATATATATATATATATATATATATATATATATATATATATATATATATGAACAAACTCATGAAACCTATAAAAATTTATAAAAGTAATGACATCTTTTTCACTTTACAATTGCCTAAAACCACTAAAAAACCTTCATCATGATGTAAATGCCAATGTGAGGTTTAGTCCAAGTATGCTCGTCGTCGTTTTTCTATTTGATTGTCGTATCTTATTCTTTATTCTTCAATTTTTCCGTTCTCCTAAAATGAATTCCTATTTCTATTTCACTAGCATCATAAAATTTCAATTTAACTTCACAAGCAATCTTCTAATCAAATATTATAAAAATCATTATTTTTTTTTTGTAAGTAATCAGATATTACTTACAAAAACACTTTATTTTTCATTGACAAGGTGTTTTTTTGTCACATAAGCCATTTTTTATGCTATAGCGATGACTTAAATTTTTTAATTTAATGTAAGTGAATTTTAGTCTACATATTATTAAAAGACTATCAAATGAAAAATGAGACAAAATTGAGAGATTATAATCAAATAATTAAACATGAGAAACAAAAATCAAACAATTAAAAAATTTAAGAGGTCAAAACTGGATTTAAGCTATTATATTTTTTTCCTTTACTTTTTCCACTGGTAAAAAAACACAAAATATGATAACTGTTTCTTTCTGTAGGATTTAATGTCATAAAAATTTAATCCTTTTCTGGAATATCAATTCAATTGGTAGAGGAATTCACGGCGTGATTTGAATAGATCTTAAAATGGAGTAGTATTATATTTGTTCCGATTACTTTGAATTGATATTTAGATATTTTTATTTTGTGACAATTCATATTTTTAAATAAAAATAATTTTATATGAATATTAAAGTTTTAAATTATGCATTTCGTTTGATGTGAAATATAATATAATATTTTTAAAAATTAATACTTGATCCATAAATAATTAACTATATTTAAAAATAATAAAAAGATGGAATTAAATTAATAAATAGTAACAAAACTAAAAACAATAAATAATAGATTAATTGAACATATTATAGTATTAAACTCAAAAATCTTCAACTAGGTAGTTGATCCAATGGTAATTAGATTTTGGTAGAAATAATTACGGTTTGATCCCCACTATTGAACTAATAAAATTGAAGATGTGGTTTATTTAATTCAATTTAAATGTTTTATAAAATAAGTTGTTATTGTTTATTTTAAAAATAATAATAACATTTAAAAAAATGTTATGTCAAATTAAATAAGCTCAATTCTTTACAATTATTTCTTGTGCAATTTTAAAATAAAAAATAATTGATATTTGTTTGATAAATAAATTTAAAAAACAACATATAATTTCACTTTTACATTATTAGCACCATTCATATCTTAATGGTGACACTTTTTTTTCTTCTCCTTTTGAGAATATATGTGATCTATAACTCTATAAGTAGTTCATGACAATGCTCACTTGCAATTATATCCTTTCATCATCCTAATTTTGGTATTAGTTATCTCAATGTTTAATGTTTTATGCTAATGCATGCATGGAGAGAGATAAGAGATTCATACAATACAATGTAAGTGGTCACAACTTTATTTCCAAACTTATATATAAGAAAAAAATTAGTTAAAAAAGTTTTATAGAGATGGACAATGAGATTCCTTCTAAAAATAAACAAAAACAAAACCCATGATGTTGATTTGCATAACATAGCAATCCAATAAACACTCATTTTATTCTTTTTTTTTTATAAAGTCACCCACACCCATCCATTTTATTCTAGTACAACAATTCTTTTGATGTTTACGTACTAGAAAAACGAGGTGATTATTATTGTGTTAAATATATCTATCTAGTTAGTTGCATCCAACGTCAAAAGCTGCAACTTTAATAAGCAAACCGAATAGTAAAAATGGGGCAGAGAAGAAGGGACTATGGTCACTATCCAGTTCATACACACTACTTGGTGGCCACCTATTTATCATAACTTCCTGTTGCTTTGGTTTAATCACATTGTCTTGCTTTGTCCTTATGTACACACGTCCCACTTTCTCCACTTCTACATTTTCTCCGAATTTCGCACTCATTAATGCCAACAATGGCCCTGGCCTCAACAGCATCGCAGCTAGGGTTGAATCCTGATCACCCGTCATCAAAATCAACACAGATATCAGACACGATATAAAGATATTAATAGTAAAATTTAGAGAATTGTCCTTAAGCTAGGCATGCGTGCAAAAATATATAATTACAAATTTTCTCTAGAATATTTGCCAACATTGATTGTCCTTTGGAAGATTATTGTGTTTTGATTGTTTTTACTTTGGAGGATTATTGTGTTTTTTGCACAAGAAACTTGGTACAAATGATCCTACATGTGACAAAAGCAGAGGATGAAATTAAGTCAAGGGCCATGTGGGTGTACCCTACATCTGAACAGATTTATAGAAAAATACATGCACATTATGTCCTTTTCTTGTTTGTTGGAGATATAGATACAAATAAACCATTAATTTAATATCTATTTTTTTTAGGTACCTCATGAGGAGTTAGAGGATATAAGATTTTGCGTTGAAGCTGTTTCCTTATCAAAGCACTTGTGGGAGGCTTGTCCTGTCCCAATCCAAACCCCAATTCATAGACATCACCAAACTCCGATAAATCTGGTACTCCCTATTTGCCACAAATCAAAATAGTTTTACACTCTCATTTAATAGAATACAAATATTCAGCCATATCATTAAAAAAAATTAAAATAAAATAGTAATTTAATTTAATAAATAGTTGTGATTGATTGACGGTGTAAAATTATATTACACCCTCAATAGATCAACTCTCATGTTTGAAAATGTTTTATACTTTATAAAAAAATGGTAAGAATTGCCTAAAGTTACTTAAAGGCAGCTAATCTTTTTCCCAAGTTTCCTATGTATGACCAAGTAGATAGGAATGGGGAGATAATATTATTGAACTATTTTAGGTCACTAAACAACATAACACCATGCTACCAATAAATAATTATCAGTACAATGACTGCTATTTTATAGGGGCAATAAATGTCACAAATTATTGGTGATGAATGAGAAACACATAAAACTTTACTAGATTGATGATTGCGAATGTAAAGACAATTAGCTTTGCTCGTGCACATTCTTGTAACTCTAGGCTCTCACAACTCAAGATTTGGTTAGAATTAGATGCCTTTTCATCATTTTGTTTTGCACTAAAATATATTCCTATCATCTATATAATAAATCAAATATACTCTCTTTATATAAATCAGTCATTTAGCTCTCGTTAAACCATCTTAATTAGTAATTATATAAAAACATAAGATACAGAGATACAAATTCGAATCCACGACATTTTACTTATTTATCTTTAAAAAAATAAAATCTCAGTCACTAACAAGTTGACAACAAAAAATAATCAATTATCTACTCATTTTATTTGACTCTAACAAAATAGAGGTGTATTAGAGAGTTGCCTGAAAACTAGTAATATGTTTGTTTGTGTGAAGACAGTTGGCAACCAAATATTGTAACAAGAACATCATCCTTGCTGTAAAGGAAACCTCAAAGATTTTTGAATCCAACAATAATGCACATCACTATCATATTATATTATTCCCACCCCCAAGACTTTATTGTATTATGAATTCACATGAATCTTATAACATGCTAAAAAACAGAACAGAGTTTATGAAAACGACTCACATCTTTAAGATCTTGATCGGTTGAGTATCCAAATTTCAGCATAGTTGCTGCCACATACACTGCTAAACGAATTTTATTTGGAAATTTGTGACATGCATCAGTAATACTCAATCCTCCTGCACTATGCCCCACCAATATAACCTATTATTCATATATATATTATTAGTATTATAATATATAAGGTGAAGAAATAAATCAATATCAAAATAAAAATAAAAATAAAAATATAGAACTTACCTTTTCATTATCTGGTAAATCAGATATGAAATCAATAAGAGGTTTATTATAATCATCAAAAGTAAGAATAGAATCAGCATGAGATTGATCAATTCCACAACTTTTAAGGTCTATGCATGAAACTTTGTACCCAGAATTCTCCATAAGACAACAAATTTTATACCAACACCAACTTCCTCCACTTATGCCATGTACAAACACAAAGTGTTGTTTCAAAGGAATAGTAGAATTTGAATCAACTACTCCTTCTTCTATATCTCTCACAGCCATGCCTTTTTTCTCAGCTTCTTTTGTTTTCAATGTTGTTGGTGAAACCAATATATATGTATATGTATATAATGAAAGATAAGAATAAGAATAGTTATAATTTAAGGGGTTGTGACGTTTCCTTTTTATATGTCCTAGTCAATATTATAGGAATAGGAATATTATAAATATTGAAGGCGGGTTCATATAGATATAGATAATAATAATGTTATACTATAATAATAAAATGTTTTTAATGCGTTTGGGTGATTTCTGATATATACATCATCAGTGCTTTGAAAATGTCAACATGTACAGTTTGAAATATTATTAAAATGAAAAAACTGAGTGTTGCATAAGACTGGCGTATGACGCACTCAGAGATGGCCAAAGGCAATATGTAGAAGTGTAGATGGGGAAATGGATTCCCTGCACTCAAATGGTGACTGCAGCTTGATCTCAACCATTCACTAATTGGGTTGATATAAGTTTATAGACTAAAAAATCATTAAAAAAAATTAGAGATTTTAACTTCTCACCTTTTATTTTTATTTTGAGACAAAAATATTATAATAGTCTAGTTGAATTTTTTTTCCTTTTCAAATTTGTCTTTTGCATATTGGTGTTTTTGAAAAAAAAATTGTGATACCAGAAATTCTTTTAGTAATTCCAAAAATTTCATAGCTGATATTGGAAATTTTATTGAATAAGTAAGTATTTTATTAGAAATATTAGATTTTTCTAATAATTTATACTGGAAAATTTGAAAATTTTGAAAATTTCTGTTTATGTCTAGTAGATATTTTTGAAATTTCTCATTTGTCTTTTTTTTAAAAAAAATTCTTTAGAAATTTACAAATTTTCGATAATTATTATTTTCTATTTTTTTTCTATTTTTTTAGTGAGGACCAAGAGAAAAGACGAGATCATTAAAGATAGAATTATTTATCAAAAATTTCAACTTCAACTAAATTTCTAGAATTATTTGTAATGTACCAGAATTTTTAAATTGAACTACTGAAAATTTTGACTTTTATTGAAAATTTAGTTCGAAATACTCTTCTATTTCATCACAAGGGACATTTTGGGTATTATAAAATTTCAGGGGGTGCCTTAATATATTTGAGGGTGACTTGTTAAAATCTCAAAAAATTGGGTTTCATGTAAAACCACACCCAAAATCCAAAAACTTCACAGATCCACTGATCAAATATTTATTATTACAATTTTAATTATTTTGGAGAATCATTGTTTCTTAGATATAAAAGAATATACTACATTAATGATAATTAAAGAGAATCATTGTAAAAATCAAATTTGTTTCTTAGATATAAAAGAATATACTACATTAATGATAATTAAAGAGAATCATTGTAAAAATCAAATTTGTTTCTTAGATATAAAAGAATATACTACATTAATGATAATTAAAGAGAATCATTGTAAAAATCAAATTTGTTAATATCAAAATTTTCATAATTTATAGCTGATATTATAATAAATTAATACTATATTTTTAACAATAATTCATTAATACTATTTAAACTCTATATTTTTAGTGAGGTATTTAACGGTGAGATTTAAATTGTAATTTATCTAAATTTATAGAAACTAATTATATGTAATTTAGAATTATATAAAATAATTTTATTTATAATGTAATTTTTGTTAAATCAGTCAAATTTTTAAGAATTTAATTGATATATATTGTTAGTGAATGGTTGTGATACAGTAATTATGTAAAAAAATTTACACTTATGGTATATAATAATTCATCTCAATTTTTAAAGTGTAATTATTTTTTTTTATAGATAAAGGTCAAAATATATTGAAAAGAAAATTATTACACAAAAGGGAGTAGAGGAAATAGATCAAGATCAAAATTCACTTAATAAGATTTAAATTGAAAAAAATAAATAATAATATTATCTTTCTCAATATCTCTAAGAAGTAAGAATCAAATTGATTTTTACGACTATTTTCTTCTCTAATTGTGTACAAAATGATGAAAAACATGTCAAAAGAATCTTGGCGCAAGCATGTCATACAGTAATTCTTAATTGCCAAGACACTAAATCAAGGTTGGTGGAAGCAAAAATCTAGACCTCTAAAAGAGAATTAGAGCATCCACATGGTACTTTTTTTAGAATGCATATTTTTGTAGGGGCAATTCCGAAGAGAGAGCATTTTACTTGGGATATATTTTTGTGAGAGACACACCACTTGTCCATCTAAAATTTTAAGGTGATAGATGAGTGAGTTCTCTCATATATATATATATATATATATATATATAAAAGTGTTTAATCTTCCCTTTTATAATCAATGTGAGACTTCTTCCTCACACTTGATTCTGAACAATTTTGAAAATAAAAGTGAGGTAATAAATTGCAACGGTGGCTTTGTTTTACCACTCATGATTATGTGATTTTACATTAAAATATTTAATTATACATTTGTATATATATAAAAGTGAACGGTGGGACCTATTTTAAAGTTTTTTATATGTAATATGGATATATAAAAAGTATAAAGAGTTGTTTAAATAATTAAAAAGTGTGAGATAATTTAAAGGATTAAATATGTTTGTTTTATGAATATGTTAAAAAAAATTTAGTTCTTATTAAAAAGGATATATTTTAGTCGTTATCAAATTTTTATTCATGCAGTTTATAATTTATGTTATTTTTTAAAATTTTGAAAATTATTTAATTTAAATTTTTTAATAATTTTTCATAAATATTTATAAAATATTTATTTATTAAATTTTAGAATTTTTTAAAATAAGAATAATTAAATATGAATTTTTTAAATTTTAAAAACAATGAAAATCTCGATTTAGAAATCAAATTTTGAATTCTTTTTTTCGAGAAATCTTTTATAACTTTCTAAACATCTATGAAAATAAACATTCAAAAATATGCATTAGTTTAACTGCAAAGACTAAAACTATGTGTATAATAATTTTGTAAGAACTAAAATATGCTAATTTTTTTATAGGGACAAAAAACAAAATTTGATAATTTAAGGAAACAAAAACATATTTAACCCTAATTTAATATATTGAGTAAGGTTTATTTATACCACTAAATTGAGTGACTTGGATGTGGATGCTCTTAGAGGACTAACCATGTCATTTACTATTTTATTATTCCATCTATTTCAAAATGACTATCGTTTAAGGTTATTGCACATAAATTAAGAAATACAATTACGTTATCATAAGACATTATACTTTTACAAAATTAACCTTATTAATATATTGAAAATAGTGTAGAGAGTAAAAAATAAAAGATATAATTGAAAAAATAATAATTATATTATATTAAAAAATGAAAATTACAGTCGTTTAAAATAAAATTTATTTATTAAAACGATAATTATTTTAAAACGGATGAAATATATCCAAGAACACCAAAAAAAACTTGATCAAAAATCTAATTCACAGGTCTCGTAAAAGTCAAGATAAACAAGCCCCTGCTATTTAAGGGTTCGTAAAATATCTGGTTTTAAAGTTTAAATCTATAATCAAAATCAAATCCGTTTTAAATACTCTAACATAATAAATTAATTATTAATCGGTTTTGTTATTAACAATTCGTTATTCATTCATATTTTATTTTTGAATTTGGTTATTATCTAAAAATTAAAAGTAATTTAAAATTTTCAATTCAATTATAAATTTTTTAATTTTATTTTCTAGAATTTTATTTTACTTTTTGGAAAAAAGGATTTGTTTTTTTAATTTTCGGAAAAAATAAAATTTTTATTTTCTGAAATAAATTTTTTAATTTTTTGAAGTAAAAAATTCCCAGAAAAAATATTAATTTTTTTTGGTTTTTGAAAATTTTGTTTTTTTATAAAAACATTTTAGAAAATAATAATTTTTTCAAAATAAATAATAATCAATTTTAAGAATTAATTGAATTTTAAATAAAAAAATTTAATTAAAATATGATTATGATTATAAATTCAAACTATCTAAATAGTTTAAAAATGATTATACTTTAGTTTCTAAAAATAATCAATCATGCACTTTGTAAAGTCCACCAAAACTCGCTCAAATAGGATCGGAAGAAAAAGCTATCAACATTACATTTGATCTAATCAATAGATTATATGAAAATTAAATGACAAAAGTTAGATATAATTTTTCAGGTGTGATTTTTATTATTTTCCAATTAAAATATAAAAAATGTATAATTTTCTTTTATACATATATAAATGGTTCTTATTTTTATTTCTTAAATGATATTTAAATATACTTGTCATATTTTCAATGAAAACTAATAAGAATCACACTTAAAAAATTATACATAAGTTTTGTCCAAAATTAAATAATTTGAAGAGTAAAGACACATTTTAGTCACTCACAAAAATTATAAATTTTTAGTATTTTTTTTTCAATTTTTTTATTTTCCGAATTAAATTAATTTTTAATTTTTTGAAAACTTTTTTTTTTGAAAAAAAGGTATGAAAAAATATTAAGTTTTAAGTTTTTTTTAAAATAAATAATAATTAACTGAATTTTAAATAAAAAACAATTTTGATTGAAATACGATTATATTTATAAATTCAAACCATTTAAATAGATTAAAAATGATTATGATTTAGTTTCTAAAAATAATCAACCATGCACACCCCTATTACTATCTCTCTTTGTGTTAGATTAGAACAATCTATTTTAAAGGTGGATATCTTTTTGTGTTAAATTTTAACATTTATTTCAGCAATGTGAAGATTTCTCCGTGTTAGATTGAAACATTCAAATTTTTAAGAATGCGAGGATTTCTATGTGTTAGATTCGAGTTACAATAATGTGAAGATCTATTTGTGTTAAATTGGGACATTTTATCTCCAGCATATAAATATCTCTTTGTGTTAGACCCGAACAATAAATTTTCAGTAGGCAAAGATCTTTTTGTGTTAGATCTAAGCATTGCTTTTCAACCGAGCAAGGATCTCTTTGTGTTAGATATGAGCATTATATTTCAACAGTGTAAAGGTCTTTGTGTGATATATCA